AAATTTGCACTAAATCCTAAACCCGTGAACATGTGTACCCTTGGGGTCTACCTCGCCTGCAGGATAGAAGTCGCTGCGCCGCCCCAGACCCCGACTTAGTAAGAGTACTAGAACTAAGTATTTGTAGTCGTATTTACATTAATATGGGTGTTTGCGCTAGTATTGCTTGGAACCCAAGACCGAAAACCGTGACCCATGGCGCCTAGACCCCTAAACCCTCAACGCCAAACCGGAAACCCTAAACCCTCAACGCCCGGGGCTCCCGGAGCGGCAACGCACTTTGATCCCTGATGGGCTGCTTGCCACGGTGTGCTACCCTGTCAACAAAGAGTGTCACGGTAAAGGGAACAGCAGTTCAGCAGAGCCGTGGTTTCTGACCGCAGGACCTGAGCCTTACAACCTAACTCTGCATTGCACGGTGAGCTACTCAGCTAATCTCTCAGTTCTACCTATGCTATGCATTTGCTAGGCATCTCTTCACCATTGCTGTTACAATCAGCATTCACTTGACGACAAGCTACAATTGAAAGCGCGGTTCTTCAGCCACATCCCGTTTTTGCCGCAGATGATGCTGTAGACATGACATTCCAAAGCACCCTTTCCGGCTGCTGAGAACATTCTCAAACCCACTGATGTGGCCGCTAGACCCCACGGTGCCCTGTACACAAGGTCAAAAGGTTTTTGATCTTTGAGAAAGCCCAGCTCGAACAAAACAATGGCAGGATTGAAACACCAAGCATGTAAAACATGTATGTAGGTGGGCATCTGCATGCATGTCTAGTGGAAGCACCGCCTTTTCCGCAAGCGCAGCAAGCAACCTCTTCTGATCCCGAAACCCTAAACCGCTTTCCGGCAGAGGATCCAAGTCCTCGACATCTTGCAGTATGTCAGCCTTCCGGAGGAACCCATGCCTCAGGCCTGGAAGAGAGGAGGGGTTTCTTCTACTTTAACATCTGGTGAGGATTGCCATTGCGTCGGGGGTATACACAAGGGCTTGCCTAAATTCCTAGGCCTGGTAATTGCTTTTGTTGCCATCGTTACCCTCATCGTGTTGTTTTATCACTGCTACAATCACTGTTGGGGCTTTTCCTACCTACAGGGCTTTCGCAGGCGTTGACTGTGTTCGAATTGAATTTTATGGTTCTAGACCCTAAACCCTAGGCCCTACACCCCAAACTACAGGGATCGGTGCCTTTTAAGGTTTGAGGCTCTGAAGGCACCAGGCTTCATGGCTTTTGCACTCGGAGAGCTATTACGTTGAAGTTCTCTGTAACATTCCTCCTGACGTCATGGAAACCCTTAAACCCTAAACTCTAAATCTAGGTACACGAGTTTGAAATTTCTTGTGTCCCACCCGGTTCTGGGGCTTTTCAATCTCACCGAAAGTCTTGGACTAACGGCGCAGAGCCTAAGCCCTACCCCCTAAATCCTAAACCCTAAACCCTAAACCCTGAGTTGGAGATTTTCTTGAAGAATTCCCAAAACCGAAAGTCCGGCAGTTAGGAGCTTTGAAGCTGGAATATGAGGGCTTTAGGGTGTAGGATCCGTAGAGTTGAAGCGTTTGGCTGTGAGGGACCCCAGCACAAAGTCCTCTTCTCTCCTTGAAGCCTGAACTTAGCACCCTGAGCACCAAAGCTTATTCATGTTTTGGCTTTTTGGAGAGGGGCTGCCAAACAGATTCCGTATTATGAGTACATCACAATGCCCGAAACCCTATTCTAATTCTGCAAGCCTCCCATCTTTGGGGCTCTGGGCTTACCTGGGCTTAGGGCTGTCTTGCGGATATCGGGCGGTAGGATCTCTGAGGCATAGGAATCCCTAACAACAGCAGCCTTGGACCCCATCAACTTCCCTAGATTTATATAGTAGAATCTAGGGTTCCTATATTAGGAATTACTATTATGATTTGGGGAAGTATCCCCCATAAGGCCCTAGATGCTGCAAAGCCGTGCGCCAGCTTGCTCTTGGCAGTCGAGCCGAAAATTGCGTAGCGTGTTGAGGGTCTTGGTTTTTGAGCTTCAACAGCCTTTGAAGGGGCAAGGGCAAGGGCTTATAACTCCTAAGCCCTAAATCCTAAACCCTAAACGCCCCTAAACCCTAAACTCTAAACGGCCCTAAACCCTAAACCCTAAACCCTAAATGTGTTGGAGGAGGAGTCTGCATTCGGGGGCTCCTCCCGAAGTCGCACGGCGCCGTCCGGGTTCCGAGCTTTGCCGTGAAGCCTCGAGGTTTTGGGGCGAACCGAGACCTTCCCCACATCCCCTTAACTAAGGGTTTAGGTTTAGGGTTTGGGGTTTAGGGTCCCCGTAACTAGGGGGATGTACCTTAAAGGATTCCTTAAAGGGATCTTTAAGGGTTTATATAAGGGAATGAAGGAATAGACCTTAAGAGTTGTAGGGGCTCTGACAGGGATCTAGAGGGGTCTCTATAAGGGTTCTATGAGGGAATTAAGGAACACACCTTAAATTATAGGGGCCTTCAGATTATGATTGAAGGTACATTCCTTCACTAAGGGGTATTGGGTTCTCTGGATAATTAAGGAATATGCTTTAAGATATCGTAGGATCCCTCATATGATCTAAGGTATATTCGTTATTTAAAGGGTATTGGACGTCCAATAGCCTGAAACCAAACCCCACAAACGAACCTCAATCCCTACGTAACTCCTTCCTAGAGGCTAGAATCCCTAAACGACTTAACTCAACCACATTCTGGTAGCAGTCGCAGTGGCATTCCGAAGCACCCAAGAGTGGTGTTCCGATTTGTACCATGCAAGCTGTACATAACAGACCTGGTGGTCACCTCGAACTTGGGGTAAGCCCCAGGCATCTGCTGCCCCCCTTCACCGAAAACCCTAAACTTCAGGAAGCAAGGGCCCGAAGCCCCAAAGTCACGACCTATGAAGTCCTGAACACCTAAACTGAATCGGCTGCACCCCCAAGTTCTTTGCACTGTATCTTCAGCAGTGACCTGAAAAGCTGAAAGGCCTTAGCCTCAAAAGCCTCAAATGGTTCAAAAAGCCCTATGCACCCGAAAGCCTCAAGCTCTAGCCCCTTACAACACCCTCACAGCTTCGTAGTGCGCTTGCAGAGCCCTTGTAGATTCCTTTAAGAGCTCTTCAAGAGCTCCTTAAAGGCAGAGCCCAAGGTCCATAGAAGGACAGCCCGGCCGCCCTTTTAACATTGGAGCAAGAGGGTTTAGGGTTTAGGGTTCAGATCATACCAAGGGATCCCTCTAGAGCTTTAGGCTTCAGGAGGGATATTTCTGGATCATCTGCTCTCTGGGAACCCCCCCTTAAACCCTAAACCCCGGACCCTGCCAAGGCAGCTCCCATCCGCCATCCGCAGCCATGGATCGAGTTATCGCCTGCAGGTTCGGGGCTCTGAGGTGTAAGGTATCGAATTCAAAATTTGCAGGGCTGTAGGTTTAGGATTTAGGATTGCTGCTACAAGCTTGAGGGTTGCTGGCTCTCCGGTCTAGTGCTTCGCGTTAAGTGAATGCTTTCGAAGTTGAGGGTTCTTTGTGGATGCCCGACTGGCTCCAAAGCCCTTTCCCTCTACCACCTCCCCCAAAAACCCCAAGGCCCAAACCCCAAACCCTAAACCCTAAACCCTAAACCCTGAACCCTAAACCCTAACCCCTAAGCCTAAACCCCAAGGGCACGAAAGGCCCCCAATCCCTATGCTCCCTAAATCCTAAACCCTCAACCCTAAACCCTAAACCCTAAACCCTCAACCCTAAACCCTAAACCCTAAACTCTAAAACCCTAAACCCTGAACCCTAAACCTTAACCCTAAACCCTGAGCCCCGCTCCGGGCACCAGGGGGCGACTCCTGGCACTTCGCGGTCGCTGGTCCTCCGGGGCTCTCTCTCTGAGTTTCGATTACTTAGGGTTTAGGGTTTAGGGTTTAGGGGGTTTGGGTTTATGGTTTAGGGTTTAGGGTTTAGGGGGTTTGGTTTTAGGGTTTAGGGTTTAGGTATTATCATTTTGATTGGTATTAATATTGAATAACGTCTTTTTGAAACTTGGTCATGATCATTACCACCAACATGGTTTCACAAGCATTCTTGCATATTGCTTTAAGACATCATTCGTGCTTATGTTCATCGTTGTTGGTCAGGTTTGAGCCTAAACCCTAAACCCTAAACCCTAAACCCTAAACCCTACCTGTTCAGTTCGTCTAGGGTTTCCAGGACTCTGGGGTTTTCTATGGTTGGGGATTTCAGGGTTTTGGTTTCGGGTTCTACTGCAACTCGTGCTTTGGGGGTTAGGGGTAGCTTTCGGATCAAGCAGGGTTTCCTTGGGTCATTTGTGGGTTTAGGGTTTAGGGTTGAGGGTTTAGGGCCGTTTAGGGTTTAGGGATGTTTAGGGGTCTTGAGTGTCAGATGTGGGTGTTGTGTTCATGGGGCGGGCGATGCACTAGCAGGGTCGGAGGCAGAACTGAGCAGTGTCTTTGGAGTCTTTGGTTTATTGAAATCTAAACTAAACACTAATTCCCCCCTAAACCCTAAACCCTATCAGAACCTAAACCCTAAGCAGCCAAGCCCCGCCCTGCAAGCCAAATCTTGGGTGCCCTCCCTAAACCCTAAACCCTAAACCCGAAACCCTGAACCCTAAACCCAAAATAAAGGACCCTACAAGTGACCCTAAGTAAGACAACTATCCATATACATAAATCACTGAAGGATAAGGACGATTGTGGTCGCCGTCGTCGCTCAAGATAACATGTCCTGGGTCCCCCAGGTTTTGGACCTTTTGGTGAAGGGTTCCTTGAGTGGGTGGTGGGGCTTGGGGTGTCCTGCGCACTGCTCATCCTCGGCTCTTCTTTCCTTTGCCATCCTCCTTTCAGGCTTTGGACTTGGAGCCCTCTCCACCCTTTTCTTCTTTCGGGAGACCCTCTTTCGATCTTTTCCTACGGCTTCGCACGTTCCTCCTGCCTACCGGCCTCCTTCTTCATCCCGCCTGGCTGGGTATCTGCATGAGTGATAGCAAGCCTGAGGTCGACTTGGATTCTCTTACTCAGGCTATTGAGCAGCTCCATCTGGCTACTGGATCCCTTGCCCGGGCCGTGCGACGGTCCCCTGCCTCCAGCTCCGACGGCTGGGTGGTTGTGCCTGCTGATTGCAAGCCTGATTCCCCTTCCTCTCAGCACCCGAGTCCCGAACCTGCCGGTGAGGTTGCCCCTCCCCCTAGGGACCCTAATCCTGAACTCCGAGGCGACCCTTGCCCCTAGGTTTCGGTTTAGGCCCCCCCCCCTGTCCCTGCCGAGCCGGGCCCTGAGAGCCTGTTGCATCTGGTGGTCGGTCTTGCTCCTGCTGTGCGCCTTGAACGGGCCCGCCGCGCCTGGAACGCTGGACTTCAAGCCCGCCAGCTCCTTTCCGGAGCCCAAGACTTTCCCGACTCTACCCCGCCTTTGCAGGTCAGGTCCAGGTTTTACGTGGTCTTGCGGAACGGCCGAGGAGGTGAGCCGGCCTGCTACCATAGCTTCGCCAGTTTCAAGAGGGACGTGGGCTCGCTCCAGGGCTCAGACACCGTGTGCCACGGCAAGGTGAGGGCCAGATCTACGCAGCTGCTGCCGGCGTTCCCTTGCCCCGCATCTTGCCGTGATGGCCTCCGACATGCTGGTTTTTGCGTCAGAGGGCCACCTGTTTCCTTACTTGGCTCGCCCTCCCGTGGCAGGCTCCCCTGAAAACGGAGACCGCCGTTTTTTTCCGAGATGGTGGATTTCTCCTTGCTTGCCAGCTGGCTCCATTCCCCCCAATCTGCTTTTGCGTGGCCAGGGCGCAGGTGCCGAGGATATGATAGGCCCCTCTCCCAAGCGTGGAGGAGGAGGATGGGAGCGAGGTGCCAGTGGATTCTCCTTTGCAGGTGTTGGTGGTGGACTTTGCCACTTCAGCCGCCTCCTTCCTAGAGCCCTACGACCCAGCGTCTCCCGAGGAGCCGGCCCTTTCCTTGCTGCCTCGCCCCAGGTTTTTCCTCATGGACCTCAGCTGGTGTCCCTGTGCAAAGGCTGGCTTCGCACCAAACCTGCCGACCGGCTCGCTTTTTACACTGCCCCAGAGGAGGAGGAAGCGCTGCTAGAGGAGGCGCCCGCCGAGGTACCTACCGCAAAGCCCCGGCCGAAGAGGGTTACCTGCTCAGCTGGCCGACCAGCTGGGGTCAATCAGCCAGCTCCTGCCCACCATCACCAGCCAGCTGAAAGAGATCTCGGAGAAGCAGCGTGCTTTGGAGGAGAAGGTGGAGAAGAGGCCGGCCGAGCCCGCTTTGGCTCCCCACCACAGGCCGTTCGTGTTTCCCACTGCAAAGGCAGGCGCAGGTGTTTCAGGCGTTGGGGCCTTGGCCTCCCAGGTGGGCCCTCCCCCCACAACCAGACCAGCACAGGCTGCCATGCCCGCCCTCGTCGAAGACGCGCCTCAGCAGGACCTGTTGGAGCTAGGGGACCCCGCCCTCGAGGGTCAAGGCGACGGCTCAGCAACCTCTGCCCTGACACAGCAGACCCAGGCCTTAACCCAGCTGGTGGCCCACCTGATCCAGAACTTCGAGGGAGGAGCCGATTTCGGGGCGGCCAGGGTATGCAGGGCCTCTCCTCGAAGGGCAGTGCAAAAAGGGAGCGCCTTCTTGCGGAGCTGGCCGAGAAGAACGGCTCTTTCATGCTGGCTGTGGCGCAGCAGGGGGTACCGCCGAATGTTCCCGTCGGAGAGCGTCCACCGGACCTTGGAGGAGTTTCGTGTCGAGCCCCGCCGGTTCACGTTCGGGCAATACGTGGAGAGGTACGGGGGCTACGGGTCCCAAAGAGAGCTCGGCCTAACCATGCATATGACGACTCAGATTGCCGACGTCCTCCTCGCAGGGGAGACAGAGGCGCTCCTTAGCCTACCTTTCGCTCCTGTGGCCGCCTCGCGAGAGCCCGGCCTCTGCAAGCAACCCCCCCAGGCCCGGTGCCCCGGCCTCCCGGCTTGCCTCAGGTCCTTTGCCTGCACGACCTCCTGGCGCCATGTTTTTAATTCCCAGCCCCCCCCTGCATTGCTGCGGGTCGCTGGCCCTAATCCCTCTCAACCTGAGCCGGTTCAGCTTTGCCTTGCCGAGCTTCTTGTGCCGACCGCTCCCAACGTGGGCGGGTGCACTCTAGACCAAGGTGCTTCCTGTGAGCCCTGGTGCTCTGGGCCATTTGAAAATTCTTCGGCACCTCCTGCCTCGCCTAGCCCCCTCGTTCTCGTGACCCTGCCTTGCCGCCTCCTTCGCCTAAGGGGCGTGGCCCGACAGCCAAGCCAACCATGTCCTTTCGGCAGTGGTCTCTCTCCTTTGCATTCAGGGTGGTGCGAACCCGGACCCCCTTTGCGGCCTTCCTGGCCTCCCTTCTGCACTTGCCACCGGTGAGGGACGCCTCGCCCTCCAAGTCTTTGTTCCCCTTGCCCATTCCTTTTTATGGATTGTTTTCGGCAAGCGACCCGCGACTGAGCGCCTAGCAGCCCAGCGGCTTACCTTTGTGACTGTTGCCGCCCTCAACTACCTGCACGCCGGCTCCCGTAGGGTGCCCCTCTCAGCTATGCGGAGGCCCCCGAATAGGCACCAGGCCAAGGCTCTGGACTATATCGGCAGGCTGATCAAGACTTGTGCCGGATGTTCGGGCATATGTGTGCCTGACTCGTCCCGACGTGCACGCCAATTACTTGCAAGACTCGGTGAGGTCTCGGATCGCCTCACCTCCCTTGGGTTTTCCACTGATAAGTATGGGCCTAGCTTCCCTGGCCTGGGGTTAAGCTCGACGAGCCCGCCGCCTTTGATGCCCTGCACCCCTACCGGAGCCTCGACCCAACCAGGCTTAAGCTTTCAGGCAAGGCGAACTGGGACCCTTCGGAACACCTCGACGACCTCTTCTTCCTGCCTTTCAGGGAGCCCGACCTCCTACTGCTGCGGCCGTGCCCTCCCCGGCCCTTCTGAAGTGCCTGACCTCTCGAAGGAATCCGCTGTCAAGGTGTACGACCTAGCCCGCCGATAGCCTGGGCCTGCTTCGCCTGGCCTGCTCTGGCCCCTCTCCTGTCTTCCAAGGCGTTCGCGTGTTTAATGCCTTGGAAACGGCCGAGGTAGACTGACAAATAGGGGATAAAAGAGGTAGGAACCTTTGCGAAGGGACCCTGTCTGGTCCGTCGTCTGCCCTTCCCTGCGGCCCCCAGCTTACCAGCTTCTACCTCGACCCTAGACGGCAGGAGTTTTCGATATCGGTGACAGATAGATCCGATTTCTATCACCAAGTGGCTGTGCCACCGCGGCGTACTTTGAGGAATGTGTTGGTTCCCCCGCTCGAGGCGTCTCGGGTCGCCGACCTCCAGGCCTTCAAAGCCCAGCCACTTCTCGACGATGTGCCTTCTGGCCTTAGGCGAGGCAAGCCGTGTAAGAAGCTCTTTGCCTGCTTCAGTGCCGTGCTCCACAAAAACGCGCTCGGAGTAGAAGTTGCTACTTCCTCCCACGGCCGATTGCTGTGTGCCGGCGGTCTTTTGGACCCGACCTCGAGGCTGTGCGGGGGTCAGACTTTTCCCCGCAGAGCCCCCGAGGATCTGGTGCAGGGGCTGATAATAGATGACTTTTTCGCAATTCGCTGCCCCGAGGTCGGATCCAAGGTCCCTTCCTTAGCCTCCCCCAGGCCCGGGCCATCTATGCAAAGGAGGGACTCCAGGGGTCTGTTGAGAAGGACATCGACGGCAGCTGTTGCGCCACTGTCGGGGGCGCTGAGCTAGATGTCTCCGCGTCCACGCGAGCCAGAGGGATAGCCACCGTCGGCCCCCCGAGGGCCAAGCGCCTGGGCCTAGCCGCCATCACTCTCGAGAGCTGCCGGCTGAAGAAGACGAGCGATGTTCTTCACCTGTGTTTGGTTAGCTGCTGGGTCTCAGGGTTCTGCTTCTTCCGCCCCTCATGGCCTGCTTTGACAAGGTGTTCACCTTTGTGAACGCCACCGAGCTCGGCCCCCTGGGCTAGCCAGCTGTTTGCCACTGACTCCTCGGAGTCGCGAGGGGCCATCGTGCAAAGCCCGGTGAGCACTGAGGTCACCGCCTTGCTCTGGAGCTCGACCTCAAAGGCTGCTGGCCCTGCTCGGCTCCTTTCTCGCGAAAAGGCCGCCCTTACAAGGATAGACCCTGACTACGAGCCCCGGCTCCCCCCCCAAGAAGGCTCCTCGCCGAAACGTCCCCCTGCCTGCCGATACCACTACCTGCAGTTTTGGGGTTCCTCTAAGGGTATAGGCCTCTACCTTGAAGCCCTAGGTTGGACCACGGGACCCTGCATCGACCCTAAGGTTTCGGTTGAGTACGACCCTGCCTCAACGCGCGTGTTCGAATGGGCTGCCTTCCTGGTCGGGGCTGGTCGGCTGGACTCTCGACCCACAACCCAGGCAGCCGCTCGAGTGCTCACCCCTCCGCGCGTAGACCGCGCGAACCGCTACACTGCACACTGCCTCGCCCTTCTGCGCGTCTGCCGGCGCCACCGGATCCCTGCCGTGCGCCTCAGCTCAGAGCCTGGAGGGACCTTTGCCAACGAAGGGAGGCTAGAGCAGACCTGGCGGCGAGACCACCTGAAGCCGCCTCCAGGCAGCCGTGATGAGGAGGTTTGGCTCGAGGCCGCCGCTGCCCTTGCGCTGTCTTCGGCCTGGTCCACCCGACGGGTCTGGAAATGGCCCAGCCCGGTGCACATCAACATCCTGGAGTGTTCGTGCATCTACCGGCTTCTCTGCTCCCTCGCTCGCAGCTCCGGTCCCCTTCGGTTTGCAACGCTGTGTGACAGCGCCGTTACGTGCCATGCTCTGCGAAAGGGGCGCAGCCCCTCCCACGGCCTACGCAAGGTCCTCAGGAGGATTTCCTCCCTCAGCCTCGCTTTTGGTCTTTACCCTAGTGCACCCTACTGCCCTACGCGCCTTATGCCAGCAGACCACCCTTCCCGTGATGCCGAGATCCCCGACCCCCTGCCTAGTCGTCTGGGCCACCTTTCCAGCTGTGCAGAGTTGCTCCCGCTGACCAGGATAGTCCCGTGCAGGCAGTGGGCGGCAAACTGGCTTCGCCTGTTTTTCTGCCTCGCTCGCTACCGGCCGCTGCGTGCTGAGGAGGCGTACCGGTACCAAGGCCGCTCTCCGCGTACCTTTGTGCCTTGTCCTTTGGACTTTCTTTCGTCGGGGGTCGCCCCCCCGGGATCGACTTCTGAATGTTGGCGGCCCCCGCGGCCTTTCACGCCTCCTCCTCTGGCCTTCGCCTCCTCGCTTGGCTTTCCTGGTGAAGGGCCTCGAGCTTATAGCTGTGACTTTCCCCGGCCTTTCAGGCCTCCTCTTGTGGACTTCGACTCCTCGCTTGGCTTTCCCGGTGAAGGGCCTTCTCCTCTGAGCAGTTGCACCTTCTTCTGGTGGGGCTTCCTGTTCGCTTCGTGTGTTCAGGGTGTTCAGGGTCCGGTTCCTTTAGCTTCGAGCCATGGCTTCTTGCTGCCGCGTTCTGTTCGTGACCAACAGAGGCAGGAGCGCCGTGGGACTGGAGACTTGCCCATCGGGCGGCCCGTCGAGCCGGCCACCCAGAAGAACCGCGATTTTTTGTGGAGCTCCTTCTGTGATTGGCTCACTTCGGCTGGGATCGAACGAGCTCTCTTCGAAACGGTCGAGGGGCAACAGGACGTGGACGGCATAAATGCCATTCTGGGGAGGTATGGCCGCGAGCTCTACCGTGCCGGCCGCCCTTATGCTCATTTTTCTGAGACCCTGAACGCCTTCAGCAGCCGGGTGCCTAAGCTCAGGAGGCTACTTCAGCCAGCGTGGGATGTGGCCTTCGCTTGGAGGAGAGAGGAGCCTTCCTTGCATCATGCTGCTATGCCGTGGCAGGTGTTGGTGGCCCTGCTTGCCACGGCACTGCTCTGGGGCTGGGTCAGAGTCGCTGGAGCTCTGGCTCTGGCATGGGGGGCCTTCTTCGGATCGGCGAGGTTTTGGGAGCTCTTCGATCCGACCTCCTTTTGCCCTCCGACGTTCAAGGAACCTCGGACTATGCGCTATTGTCTATAAGGAACCCGAAGACGAGGTTTTCTGCAGCGAGACACCAGGCTGTGAGTGTCGACCAGCCTGATCTGCTAGCAGTGCTCGAGCCCGTCTTCCAGAAGGTCCCTGCGGGGTGCAAGCTCTGGCCTTTTTCAGGTCAGACTTTACGCTCTCGCTTTCAGCAGCTCTGCTCCTCGCTGCAGCTGCCTATTGGAAGGTCACCTGGGATAAACGGCCTCGAGCTCTCATCACTGAGAGCAGGAGGAGCTACCTGGTTGATGAATACTGTCGAGGATTCAGAGTTCGTGAGACGCCGAGGCCGCTGGTTGTCTCATCGGATTATGGAGATTTATATACAGGAAACCACCTCGTTACAGTTTCTTCCGACCCTTCCAGCAGCCTCACGAGTGAAAGTATTTCTGGCTCTTGAGACGTTCCCTGAGATACTGAATCGCGTGACCTTCTTCACCTCCGTCGGCATTTTGCCGACGGTCTGGTTTAAACTGCTCGCCGAGGGTTCGTTCACGACGACGGATGGGAGGAGAATGGGTGGCAGTCTGCGCAAAGCAGGTGTCGCCCAAAACGGGCGGCTTG